GTTTGTAATTTGCTTTTGAGACTTTGGGTGATGGCTGGATGTTGAAGTGCTTTCCCAATCAAGGGGAGAAGATTTTGTACATTTAGTTGTGATTTAAATGTAGTACTTGTAATAATTTTTACATTGTTGTACTATTACTTTTAATAAAATAAAGATACTTCTTCCTCCACTGTTGCTTGCTTACAAAAACTAAAATTTCAAATCTTGTAAAAGAATCATCAGTGATCTCACTGACATTCAGTAAAGACAGCAGTGATGTCAGAGACAGGCTCAGTACATACATTACAGGAGAGACACCAACTGGTTGTGATGTTGGTTGGAAAAGATATTCAAGCTAAATGGTTTTTGAACATTTTAATATTAAGTTTAATGTCAACTAGAATTCATTCTGAACCGTAAGATCTGTTTATAAAGTAAAAAAGGCACTACTTGTGAAGGCGTCTTTCTGTCAGATCAGCCATAGAGATTTGCTTTATTGCTACAATGAAACAGCTGCGCTTTATATATATATAATACTCCTCATACTCCTGAATTTAATCTCAAAATTCTTTAGATCAAAATCAGAAAAAAAAACAAAACATTTTTTTCACATGTGGCTCTAATCCTATTGAGTACTTCTGGAAGTCTTTCATAGTGTTGTGTTTGAGTATTTTGGTATCAGGAGTAGGGTTACAAGTGATCTGACGTGGATTATGGAGTAATCTAGCATTCTATGTTAACCATCCATCCAATTGTTTCCGCTTATCTTCTAGTAGGGTCGCAGGGGCTGGAGCCTATCCAGCATCTTTTCGGGCGAGAGGCAGGGTACACCCTGGACAGGTCACCACACAGGGCAAACACAACAGAGACAGACAACAATTCACACTCACAGCTGTGGGAGGAAGCTGGAGTACCTGGAGAGAACCCACACAGGCACGGGGAGAACATGCAAACTCCACACAGAAAGAGTCGGGACTCGAACCCAGAACAGCGCTAACCACTGTACCACCTGCGGGGTTATATGTTAATATCTATCTTAAAGAATTGGTCACTAGATTTAGGCCTGAAATCTGCTGATACCACATATTAACGACATTTTCACAACATAGGGTACTGTACAGTTTAGCAAAAATGTTCCAACAAAAAGTAAAAGAATAGTAAAATTTAGTGACCCTCTAATTTTTCTCAAATATCTAATTTCACTTACATAAAACAAAATGGTGTTTTACAAAGACTGCATATTTGTCAAGTACCCAGATACAGGTGATGATTTGTGGAGTGAGTTTCAAGATAAGTATATTATAAAAACAGCTGTTTTTATAGCAATAAGGCAAATGTCTAAGGCTGATCTGATAGAATGATGGCTGCATCACTCCTGCATAAATATGGTTATCACAAGTGGTTCAGGCGCCTTTTTCTTATCAACAGATCACAGTGCAGAATGAATTATGGTTGGAATGACACTGTTATTAACTTTTTATTAGGTTTTCAAAATATTCAAAAATACAGAAAGGCAGAGGTTAAACTCTGTTAAACAATAAAATGAAATACAAATATGAATTAATAAGAATATTACAGTTAACTTATGTTACACTTTTATTAAAAAAAATAACGTTTCACTCCAACTCTCCGCTGTGTCCGCTGCGTCTCTCCTCATCACGTAACTACGGTTGAAGTACTGTATGGACAGTTTTAATACAGCCAATGAAACCTTTCCGGTTTGGGTGCGAGCACAAATGTCATCCGAGTAGAAACCGCGACCTGCCGCAAAGAAAAGATGAAAAGTAAAGGTTAGCGCGGGTCGCGGTTTCTATCGCGATGACATTAAAGCACGTACCAACCGGAAAGGGGCCAGCGCTGCGAGGAACAGCAGTCGAGTAAGATTGTCCAACACGCGGCGGATTGAAGCGAGACTTGCAGTAAAATGTCTAAGTCCGAGTTCTGAGAGGATTTGTTACTGAGAGACTCGCCGCCGCCTCCCAGGAAATCTTAGCGGCCGTGGACGGACTCGTAGCCGGTACGAGGAGGAGGCGTCGGGCTTCAGAGAGGAGATCGACCGGCAGAGGAGACTTACTGGAGGTTCTCCTGCAGCCTCGGGTCATACTCAACAAAACCGGTTGGTCATCGTTTTAGGCGTAAACTTTAAATCCATGAACCACAAAGTTCTCTGTTCTGAGTGAATCGTCCTCTGCAGCGCGAAGCTGTGGCGGGCTGTTGATCACCGCAGATTCATGGTTGTTTTTCCCCACGTGTTGCTGCTCTGTTATGTTGCATGCCAGATGTACGTTAGACACAGGTGTTTTATGTTCAGGTGTTGTATCATGTTTCAGCACATACAGACTTGGCTTTAACAAGGAAAATTGATAGCAAGTTTCAGGATGGAGTTTGCAGAGATGCTTCTAATCAGGATTTAACAACTAGTCAAGCTTTGCAGAACATGTAGGACAGAACCAGCACGTTCTACTATTGTAGATAATAACAATAGTATTGATACTGTTGATACTGCTTCTAATAATGATGATGGAAATGATTTGACACGTTAATTTTTTTTTTGTAAAACTTGCTTTAGTGAGCTGGAATAAACAACATAACTCTGTTCAATAGTTTCAAATAAAAAATACTCCGCAGCACATTTTCAGCAATCTATAGTGGAAATAATTGATTTCTGCTTTTGTTCAGGTGTGAAGTGCAGCAGGAGACTCCGCCATGATGAAGAGGACAATGAAGATGAGTAGACAAGAATCTGGATATGAATAACAGAACTCCATCAAGGTTCCTACTTAACTTTTGTTGTCATTATTATTTTGTCCACATGTATAACTGGGGGTGCTTGATTCAAAAATCTCAAGATTCGATTCAAAATTGATTTCATTCAATGATTCTCAATTCAATACATTTATACATTTGATCCAGGTGTTTTTTCCTCCAGAGGTCAGTTAGAGCAGAGGAAGCACAGCGGACCTCAGATCAGTGAAAACTCAGAAACCACATGACCTCAGGATCCGATTCCAGGAGAACCTACAGACTGAAGTACCTTCAAAAAAAGGTAATTTAAAAAGTGAATTAAAATAAATGTAAGGGAACTGGGGACAATGTTTATTTATTCACACAGGAAAGGTCATCTCTGTCCTTAAACGCACAGTATGTAACTTCTGCCTCAATGAAATAGATGTGGGCTCATGGGAGTTTTTTGTCTCCATCACCGTCATCTTCTCCCAGTTTTGAATTCTTTCAGTGTCCGTTCGTCTGGAAATCAAACAGACCTGGTTCATTTAGAACTGTAAAAAACAATTAATAAAATAGTTTCACATTCAATTTTGAGCTTCTGGCAGGCAACCACAGCGCCGACCCATGCATATAGGGATGTGCTATCATTGACAGGCGACCCAAATGACACAGCTTTACCATAGTAAAATCATGTATTTGTCTTTGTTTGAGAATTGCTGGAAATATTGGGGATAATTTAACATCACAACTCAAAACATATATAACACAGGTATAGTCATCTTGAGACATTTTAATGTGGAAAGTTATTATTATAACTTTAAATGTCAGTTCACCCAAGTAAAGGTACTGAAACCTTGGAAAGTACAAACCCCTGACCAGGAACCTTTTTGGGGTAGATCAATTACCCCGAGCTAAATTTTAGACTGTGGTTCTTGTGTCAAAACGCGCATAGTTCCTCCAAAGGTTCCTGGTTCCTGGGGAAAGTTCATACGTTTGAAACACAGTTAAATATTGTCCATAATGTGTGTGTTCATTGTTTCCTGCAGATCTTCAGTATCTTTTCGTGATTAAAGAAGAGGTTCTTCCTTGAGTTGAGCCCTCGTCTGGATCAGGAGGAACCAGAGAACCCACGCTCTTAAAGAGGAACAGGAGGAACTCTGGACCAGTCAGGAGGGAGAAACAGCTTCAAAAGGTTGGAGGAAGTTATGATGCCAAGGTCCCACTCACTCCTGTCCATGTGAAGAATGAAGATGATGAGGAGAAACCTCAGTCTTCACAGCCTCATCGAAGCCGAACTGAAGAGATCAGAGAGGCAGAGCCTCCGTCGAACAGCTCAGCCTCAGCAGATGGAACAGAGGCTGATGGAGAGGACTGTGGAAAATATAAACCAGACAGGAACGTAGATTCCACATGGTCATCTTCAACCAGACACAGATGAAAAGGTCTCAGAGTCTTCCGAGACTGAAGACAGTGACATTGATTGGAAGGAAACCAAAGCAAGATTTAAGGGACAGACGAATCTTAGGTGGCAAACGACGAACATCCATACAGGAGAGAAACCATTTGTTTCTGATGTTTTGGGGGAGATTCTACCAACAGGATTCATGTCACAACGGACGTGAAAGTCCATACAGGAGAGAAAACCATTTGGTTGCAGTATTTGTGGGAAGAGATTTAATGTGAAGAGGAATCTTAATAGGCACATAAAACTTCAATACAGGAGAGACACCTTTGGTTTGCAATGTTTGTGGGAAAAGATTTAAATTAAAGGGGCACTCTTACAGTGCACACAAAAACTTCATATACAGGAGAGAAACCATTTGGTTGCAGTGCTTGTGGAAAAGATTTAAATTAAGGGCACTCTTACAAGTTGCACATGAAAGTTCATACAGGAGAGAAAACCATTTGGTTGCAGTGTTTGTGGGAAAGATTTAAATTAAGGGCACTCTTACAGTGCACAGAAAGTTCCATACTGGAGAGGACACCATTTTGTTGTGATTTTTGTGGAAAAGATTAAAATACAGTCGAGGTTAACGCAGCACACGAGAAGTCCATACAAAAGAGAAACCGTTCAGTTGCAGTTTTTTGTGGCAAGCCATCTCGGTCATATTCAAACAGCGGTAAAGACATATGAGGACATGTAAACACAAGCATGTTGTTGAAAACAGCAGCAGTAAGTGAAACTGTAGAGTTGCTTCTCATTGAAATTACATTACATGTTTCAAATTACTGTTATTTGTATGAAAGTGTACACAAATTTAGTTTTACAACTTAAGTCATTCTTGGCAGATTTGTACTTGGTGCGCACCTAAACCATAGTCAGCATCGGCCAATCGTCCACCCAGTGCAAGAATAATTTTTGTATCACTTGGACAAATGTTTTGTGTGAACTGACTCTTTAAACCGAAAGTAATAGGCAGAGAGATAACCTTTCCTTTGTGAATAATAAAACTCTTTCATCAGTTTACATTGATTTCATTTATATTTGATTTTTTTTTTAATTACCATTGTTTGAAGGTACTTCAGTCTGTGGGTTCTCCTGGATGCGGATCCTGAGGTCCATGTGGTTCTGACTTTCACTGATCTGAGGTCCGCTGTGCTTCCTCCACTCAAACTGACCTCTGGAGGGAAAAAGACCTGAAAAGATGAAACATTAGCAGCAGCTTTATTACAATAGTCCCAAGCTGCCTATACTAAAAACTAAATGTAATAACCCAACTGAGGTTTCATTTTCCATTGTGTGGAATATCTTCATATGATTAAAATACAAATGTTGACATTCATATTTCAAAATGTGGTTTTTACCAAAATTCTAATTGAAATGATGAAATTGACAAATAATTTCAGTAAAAATTGACATGATAATGAAAGTGAATATGAAATTAGCTTTTTATTTACATTGGACAAGCTAAAGTTAAATGGACTCCTGAATTAATGGTGTCCTGATTCTGGTGAACATTTTCATTACAACATTAGTTAACGTCAGGACAGGAAACTATGATTTCTGTTTTTAACTTTAGCAGCTGTAATATCGACTTAATTACATCAATGTGAGTGGGCTGTAGTCCTTTTGGTTTCAAATCCAGTCAGCTTTATACAGTTAAAATGTGTTCTGATAATATTTGGTCAGAACATTAATTTTAAATCAGCATTGATTACTTTTTCTACACACATAAATACACAGCATTACACCTGCAATAATACAGTTTTAAAAGGGTGAAATAAGAAGAAAGTAGAGTTTATTTTCCCTAAGACACACTTCCATATACTCTGTATAAATGTAGAAAGAAATAATAAATGAACAAAAAGCCAAGTAGAAACCTTGATGGAGTCCTGTTATTCATATCCAGATCCCCGTCATCCAAATCCAAGTCCGAGTCTTCCTCTTCATCATGGCGGAGTCTCCTGTTGCGCTTCACACCTGACCAAAAGGCAGAAAATCAATTATTTCCACTTCATATTGCTTGAAAAATGTGTGTGTGACTGAGTGTTTTATTTGAAAAATTCTGAATTTTGGATCCTGAACTAGAAGCATATCTACAAAACTCTCTTCCTCAAAAATATGCTAATCAATTTTCCCTATGCTAATTGCTAAAGTCTGTACGTCAGATCAGAGATTGTTGAACACCTAACAACAACACTGGTGTCTAACCGGAAATTCGGCATGCAACATAACCAACAGTGACGATCGTTTACAGAAGCTTTTTAATATGAAAGAAAAAGAAAATGTAACGTTAGCGCAGGTCTCGCGTTTCCACTCGGATGACTTTAAAAACACGTACCGGAACCGGAAAGGGGCAGCGCCCGCGAGGAACAGCAGTCGGAGTAAGATTGCCACGACACGCGGCGGATTGAAGCGAGAACTTGCAGTAAATGTCTAAGTCCGAGGTTCTGAGAGGATTTGTTACTGAGAGACTCGCCGCCGCCTCCCAGGAAATCTTAGCGGCCGTGGACGGACTCGTAGCCGGTACGAGGAGGAGGCGTCGGGCTTCAGAGAGGAGAATCGGACCGGCAGAGGGAGGACTACTGGAGGTCTTCCTGCAGCCTCGGGTCAATACTCCACAAAACCGGTTGGTCATTCCGTTTTAGGCGTGAAATGTTGAAATCCATGAACCACAAAAGTTTCCTCTGTTTCTGAGTGAATCGTCCTCTGCAGCGCGAAGCTGTGGCGGGCTGTTGATCACCGCAGATTCATGGTTGTTTTCCCCACGTGTTGCTGCTCTCTGGTTATGTTGCATGCCAGATGTACGGTTAGACACAGGTGTTTTATGTTCAGGTGTTGTATCATGTCTTCAGCACATTACAGACTTTAGCTTAACAAAGGGAAAATTGAAATAGCAAGTTTTCAGATGGAGTTTTGCAGAGATGCTTCTAATTCCAGGATTTAACAACTAGTCAAGCTTTGGCAGAACATGTAGGAACAGAACCAGCCACGTTCTACTATTGTAGATAATAACAATAGTATTGATACTGTTGATACTGCTTCTAATAATGATGATGGAAAATGATTGTGACACGTTAACGTTTAATTTTTTTGAAAATTGGCTTTAGTGAGCTGGAATAAACAACATACATTCTGTTCAATAGTTTCAAAAATAAAATACTCAGTCACGCACATTGGTTCAGCATCTATAAGTGGAAAACAGACCATTCGAACATCTGGCGAGTGAACCTCAACTAGCCCGCCACAGCTTTCGCGCTGACAGAGGACGATTCACTCAAGAAAACAGAGGCAAACTTTGTGTTCATGCATCATCTCAACATTTTCACGCCTAAACGGAATGACCAACTCTGTGGGAGTTGACCCGAGGCTGCAGGAGAACTTCAGTAAAGTTCTCCTCTGCCGGTCGATTCTCCTCTCTTGAAGCCCGACGCCTCCCTCCTCGCCCATACCCGGCCTACGAGTTCCGTCCACGCCGCTAAGATTTCCTGGGAGGCGGCCGAGTCTTCTCAGTAACAAATCCTTTCTCAGGAACCTCGGGACTTAGACATTTTACTGCAAGTCTCGGCTTCAATCCGCCGCGTGTGTGGAACAATCTTACTCGACTTTGCTGTTCCTCGCGGCGCTGCCCCTTATTCCGTTTCCGGTACGTGTTTTAAAAGTCATCGAGTGGAAACCGAGAACCTGCTGCTAACCGTTAACATTTCTTTTTCTTTCATATTAAAAGCTTTCTGTAAACGATCGTCACTGCTTGGTTATGTTGCATGCCGAATTTCGGTTAGACACGTGTTGTGTTCAGGTGTTCAAACAATCTTGACTGACGTTACAGACTTAGCATTAGCATAGGGGAAAATTGATTAGCATATTTGAGGAGAGAGTTTTGTAGATATGCTTCTAGTTCAGGATTCAAAATCAGAATTTTCAAATAAAACACTCAGTCACACACATTTTCAGCATATGAAGTGGGAAATAATTTGGATTTCTTTGCCTGTTTGGCAGTGTGAACGCAACAGAGAGACTCCGCCATGATGAAGAGGAAGACTCGGACTTGGATTTGGATGACGGGGATCTGGATATGAATAAAAGGACTCCATCAAGGTTTCTTACTTGGGCTTTTTTGTCTTATTTATTTCTTCTACATTTATACAGAGTATATGAGTGTGTCTAGGGAAAATAAACTCTACTTTCCTTCTTTAATTTCACCCTTTAAAACTGTATTATTGCAGGTGTAATGCTGTGTAATTTATTGTGTAGAAAAGTATTCAATGCTGATTTAAATTAATGTTTCTTGACCAAATATTATCAGAAACAATTTTTTACTGTATAAAGCTGACTGATTTGAAACCAAAAGGACTACAGCCCACTCACATTGATGTTATTAATCGATATTACAGCTGCTAAAGTTAAAACAGAAATCATAGTTTCCTTGATCCTGACGTTTTAACTTAATGTTGTAATGAAAATGTTCACCAGAATCAGGACACCATTTTAATTTGCAGGGAGTCCAGTTTAACTTAGCTTGTCAATGTAAATAAAAAAGCTAATTTCTTATTCACTTTCATTATCATGTCAATTTTATACTGAAAATTATTTGTCAATTTCATCATCTCAATTAGAATTTTGGTAAAACCACAGTTTTGAATCATGAATGCAACATTTGTATTTTAATCATATGAGATATTTCCACACAAATGAAAATGAAATAACCTCAGTTGGGTTATTACATTTTAGTTTGTTAGTATAGGCCAGCTTGGGACTATTGTAATAAAGCTGCTGCCTAATGTTCATCTTTTCAGGTCTTTTTCCTCCAGAGGTTCAGTTTGAGTGGAGGAAAGCACAGCGGACCTCAGATCAGTGAAAGTCAGAACCACATGGACCTCAGGATCCCGCATCCAGGAAGAACCACCAGACTGAAGTTACCTTCAACAATGGTAATTAAAAAGAAATCAAATGATAAATGGAAATCAATGTTAAACTGATGAAAGAGTTTTACTTATCACAAAGGGAAAGGTTTATCTCTCTCCTATACTTTCCGGTTAAAGAGTCAGTTCACACAAACATTTTTGTCCAAGTGATACAAAAATTTCTGCACTGGTGACGATTGGGCCGATCCTGACTTATGGTGTTTAGGTCAGCGCCGCAACCCCAGTACAAATCTGCAAGAATGATTAAGTTGTAAAACTAAATTGTGTTACACTGTTCATTACAAATAACAGTAAATTTGAAACATGTAATGTAATTTATGACCAGCAACTCTACAGTTTCACTACTGCCTGCTGCTTCAACAACATCTTGTGTTACATGTCCTCATATTGTCTTTACGCTGTTTGGAATAATGACGGTATGGCTTGCCAAAAAAACTGCAACTGAACGTTTCTCTTTTTGTTATGGATTCTCGTGTGCTGCGTTAACCTCGACTGTATTTTAAATCTTTTCCCACAAAAAAATCACAACAAAATTGGTGTGTCTCTCCCAGATTCATGGACTTTCATGTTGCCACTGTTAAGAGTTGCCCTTTAATTTAAATCTTTCCCACAAACACTGCAACCAAATGGTTTCTCTCCTGTATGAACTTTCATGTGCACTGTAAGAGTGCCCTTTAATTAAATCTTTTCCCAACAAGCACTGCAACCAAATGGTTTCTCTCCTGTATGAGTTTGTGGTTGCACTGTAAGAGTGCCCTTTAATTTAAATCTTTTCCCACAAACATTTGCAACCAAAATGGTGTTCTCTCCTGTATGGAAGTTTTATGTGCCTATTAAGATTCCTCTTCACATTAAATCTCTTCCCACAAAATACTGCAACCAAATGGTTTCTCTCCTGTATGGACTTCACGTCCGTTGATCATGATCCTGTGTGTAGAATTCTTCCCAAAAATCAGAAACAAATGGTTTCTCTCCTGTATGGATTGTCGTTTGCCACCTAAGATTCGTCTGTCCCTTAAAATCTTGCTTTGGTTTCCTTCCAATCAATGTCACTGTCTTCAGTCTTCGAAGACTCTGAGACCTTTCACTGTGTCTAGGTTGAAGATGGACAATGTGGATCTACGTTCCTGTCTGGGTTTTTATATTTTCCACAGTTCCTCTCCATCAGCTCTGTTTCCATCTGCTGAGCTGAGCTGTTCGAACGAGTTCTGCCTCTCTTGATCTCTCAGGTTTCGGCTTCGATGAGGCTGTGAAGACTGAAGTTTCCTCATCATCTTCATTCTTCAATGGACAGAAGTGAAAGGGGACCTTGCATCCATCAACTTCCTCCACTTTGAAGCTGTTCTCCCTCCTGACTGGTCCAGAGTTTCCTCCTGTTTCCTCTTTTAAGACGTGCGTTCTCTGGTTCCTCCTGATCCAGACGAGGGCTCAACTCAAGGGGAACCTCTTCTTTAATTCACGAAACAGATTACTGAAGATCCTTGCAGGGAACAAATGAAACACACACATTATGGACAATTTATATTAACTGTGTTGTTCAAACGTATGAACCTTTCCCAGGAACCAGGAACCCTTTGGAGGAAGCTATGCGCGTTTGCTGACCAAAGAAACCACAGTGTTCTAAATTTAGCTCCGGGGTAATTGATCACCCCCAAAAAAGGTTCTGGTTCAGGGGGTTGTACTTTCCAAGGGTTCAGTCCTTTACCTTGGGTGAAACCTGGACCATTTAAAGTTATAATTAAATAACCTTTCCACATTAAAATGTCTCAAGATTGACTATACCTGTGTTATATATGTTTTGAGGTTGTGATGTTAAATTATCCCCAATATTTCAGCAATTTCAAACAAAGACAAATACATGATTTACTAATTGTAAAGCTGTTGTCATTTGGTCGCCTGTCAATGATAGGCACATCCCCTATATGCATGGGTCGGCGCTGTGGTTGCCTGCCAGAAGCTCAAAATTGAATGTGAAACTATTTATTAATTGTTTTTTACAGTTCTAATGACCAGTCTGTTTGCATTTCCAGCACGAAACGGGAACTGAAAGAATCAAAAACTGGCGGAGAAGATGACGGTTTGATGCGAGACAAAAACTTCCCATGAGCCCACACTATTTCATTGAGGCAGAAGTTACAATTTACTGTGCGTTTAAAGGACAGAGATGACCTTTCCTGTTGTGAATAATAAAACATTTGTCCCAGTTCCCCTTTACATGTATTTAATTCACTTTTTTAATTACCTTTTTTGAAGGTACTTCAGTCTGAGGTTCTCCTGGAATCGATCCTGAGGTCCATGTGCGTGTCTAGTTTCACTGATCTGAGGTCCGCCTGTGCCTTCCTCTGCTTTCTAACTGACCCTCTGCGAGGAAAAACACTGGACTCAATGTATAAATTATTGAATTGAGAAATCATTTTGAATCGAGAATCAATTTTGAATCGAATTCTTGAGATTTTCTGAATCAAGACCACCCCCAGTATACTGTGGACAAATAATAATGACAACAAAAGTTAAGTAGGAACCTTTGATGGAGTTCTGTTATTTCATATCCAGATTCTTGTCATACTTCATCGTCATTTCCTCTTCATCCATGGCGAGTCTCCTGCTGCACTTCACACCTGAACAAAAAGCCAGAAATCAATTATTTCCACTATAGATGCTGAAAAATTGTGCATGACGGAGTATTTTGATTTGAAACTATTGAACAGGAGTTATGTTGTTTATTCCAGCTCACTAAAAGCAAGTTTTACAAAAAGGAGAAAAATTAACGTGTTCACAATCATTCTCCATCATCATTATTAGAGCAGTATCAACAGTATCCAATGACTATTGTTATTATCTACAATTGAGTAGAACGTGCTGCGTTCTGTCCTACATGTTTCTGCCAATAAGCTTGGACTAGTTGTTAAATCCTGAATTTAAAGCATCTCTGCAAAACTCCATTCCTGAAAAACTTGCTATTTCAATTTTCCTTTGTTAAAAGCCAAAAGTCTGTATTGCTGAAGACATGATCAACACCTGAACATAAAAACACCTGTGTCTAACCGTAATCTGGCATTGCAACATAACCATGAGAGCAGCAACACGTGGGGAAAACAACATGAATTCTGCGCGTGATCAAACAGCCAAGCCACAGCTTCGCGCTGCAAGAGGACGAATTCACTCAGGAACAGAGGTTTGAGAATTGCTGGAAATATTGGGGATAATTTAACATCACAACTCAAAACATATATAACACAGGTATAGTCATCTTGAGACATTTTAATGTGGAAAAGTTATTTATTATAACTTTAAATGGTCAGTTCACCCAAGTAAAGGTACTGAACCCTTGGAAAGTACAACCCCCTGACCAGGAACCTTTTTGGGGGTAGATCAATTACCCCGGAGCTAAATTTAGACTGTGGTTCTTGTGGTCAAAACGCGCATAGTTCCTCCAAAGGTTCCTGGTTCCTGGGGAAAGTTCATACGTTTGAAACACAGTTAATATAAATTGTCCATAATGTGTGTGTTTCATTGTTCCCTGCAGATCTTCAGTATCTGTTCGTGATTAAAGAAGAGGTTCCCCTTGAGTTGAGCCCTCGTCTGGATCAGGAGGAACCAGAGAACCCACGTCTTAAAGAGGAACAGGAGGAACTCTGGACCAGTCAGGAGGGAGAACAGCTTCAAAGGTTGGAGGAAGTTGATGATGCCAAGGTCCCACTCACTCCTGTCCATGTGAAGAATGAAGATGATGAGGAGAAACCTCAGTCTTCACAGCCTCATCGAAGCCGAACTGAAGAGATCAGAGAGGCAGAGCCTCCGTCGAACAGCTCAGCTCAGCAGATGGAAACAGAGGCTGATGGAGAGGACTGTGGAAAATATAAACCAGACAGGAACGTAGATCCACATTGTCATCTTCAACCAGACACAGATGAAAAGGTCTCAGAGTCTTCCGAGACTGAAGACAGTGACATTGATTGGAAGGAAACCAAAGCAAGATTTAAGGGACAGACGAATCTTAGGTGGCAAACGAACATCCATACAGGAGAGAAACCATTTGGTTGCAGTGCTTGTGGGAAAAGATTTAAATTAAAGGGCACTCTTACAGTGCACACAAAACTTGATACAGGAGAGAAACCATTTGGTTGCAGTATTTGTGGGAAGAGATTTAATGTGAAGAGGAATCTTAATAGGCACATAAAACTTCATACAGGAGAGACACCATTTGGTTGCAATGTTTGTGGGAAAAGATTTAAATTAAAGGGCACTCTTACAGTGCACATGAAAGTCCATACTGGAGAGACACCATTTTGTTGTGATTTTTGTGGGAAAAGATTTAAAATACAGTCGAGGTTAACGCAGCACACGAGAATCCATACAAAAGAGAAACCGTTCAGTTGCAGTTTTTGTGGCAAGCCATCCGGTCATTATTCAAACAGCGTAAGACATATGAGGACATGTAAACACAAGCATGTTGTTGAAAGCAGCAGCAGTAAGTGAAACTGTAGAGTTGCTGGTCATGAATTACATTACATGTTTCAAATTTACTGTTATTTGTATGAAAGTGTAACACAATTTAGTTTTACAACTTAAATCATTCTTGCAGATTTGTACTGGGGTTGCGCGACCTAAACCATAGTCAGATCGGCCAATCGTCACCCAGTGCAGAATATTTTTGTATCACTTGGACAGTGTTTTGTGTGAACTGACTCTTTAAACCGGAAGTATAGGAGAGAGATAACCTTTCCTTTGTGAATAATAAAACTCTTTCATCAGTTTACATTGATTTCATTTATATTTGATTTTTTTTTAATTACCATTGTTTGAAGGTACTTCAGTCTGTGGGTTCTCCTGGATGCGGATCCTGAGGTCCATGTGGTTCTGACTTTCACTGATCTGAGGTCCGCTGTGCTTCCTCCACTCAAACTGACCTCTGGAGGAAAAAGACCTGAAAGATGAACATTAGCAGCAGCTTTATTACAATAGTCCCAAGCTGCCTATACTAAAAACTAAATGTAATAACCCAACTGAGGTTTCATTTTCCATTTGTGTGGAAATATCTCATATGATTAAAATACAAATGTTGACATTCATATTCAAAAATGTGGTTTTTACCAAAATTCTAATTGAAATGATGAAATTGACAAATAATTTTCAGTATAAAATTGACATGATAATGAAAGTGAATATGAAATTAGCTTTTTATTTACATTGGACAAGCTAAAGTTAAACTGGACTCCTGCAAATTAATGGTGTCCTGATTCTGGTGAACATTTTCATTACAACATTAGTTAACGTCAGGACAGGAAACTATGATTTCTGTTTTAACTTTAGCAGCTGTAATATCGACTTAATACATCAATGTGAGTGGGCTGTAGTCCTTTTGGTTTCAAATCAGTCAGCTTTATACAGTAAAAATGTGTCTGATAATATTTGGTCAGAACATTAATTTAAATCAGCATTGATACTTTTTCTACACAATAAATTACACAGCATTACACCTGCAATAATACAGTTTTAAAGGGTGAAATAAAGAAGAAAGTAGAGTTTATTTTCCCTAGACACACTCATATACTCTGTATATATGTAGAAAGAAATAATAATGACAACAAAAGCCAAGTAGAAACCTTGATGGAGTCCTGTTATTCATATCCAGATCCCCGTCATCCAAATCCAAGTCCGAGTCTTCCTCTTCATCATGGCGGAGTCTCCTGTTGCGCTTCACACCTGACCAAAAGGCAGAAATCAATTATTTCCACTTCATATTGCTGAAAATGTGTGTGACTGAGTGTTTTATTTTGAAAATTCTGAATTTTGAATCCTGAACTAGAAGCATATCTACAAAACTCTCTCCTCAAAATATGCTAATCAATTTTCCCTATGCTAATGCTAAAGTCTATACGTGAGTAAGAGATTGTTGAACACCTGAACTCAACACTGGTGTCTAACTGGAAATTCGGCATGCAACATAACCAACAGTGACGATCGTTTACAGAAGCTTTTAATATGAAAGAAAAAGAAAATGTAACGGTTAGCGCAGGTCTCGGTTTCCACTCGGATGACTTTAAAACACGTACCGGAACCGGAAAGGGGCAGCGCCGCGAGGAACAGCAGTCGAGTAAGATTGTCCACGACACGCGGCGGATTGAAGCGAGACTTGCAGTAAAATGTCTAAGTCCGAGGTTCTGAGAGGATTTGTTACTGAGAGACTCGCCGCCGCCTCCCAGGAAATCTTAGCGGCCGTGGACGGACTCGTAGCCGGGTACGAGGAGGAGGCGTCGGGCTTCAGAGAGGAGATCGACCGGCAGAGGAGACTACTGGAGGTTCTCCTGCAGCCTCGGGTCATACTCCACAAAACCGGTTGGTCATTCCGTTTTAGGCGTGAAATGTTGAATCCATGAACCACAAAGTTTCCTCTGTTTCTGAGTGAATCGTCCTCTGCAGCGCGAAGCTGTGGCGGGCTGTTGATCACCGCAGATTCATGGTTGTTTTCCCCACGTGTTGCTGCTCTCTGGTTATGTTGCATGCCAGATGTACGGTTAGACACAGGTGTTTTATGTTCAGGTGTTGTATCATGTCTTCAGCACATACAGACTTTAGCTTTAACAAAGGGAAAATTGAATAGCAAGTTTTCAGGATGGAGTTTTGCAGAGATGCTTCTAATTCAGGATTTAACAACTAGTCAAGCTTTGGCAGAACATGTAGGACAGAACCAGCACGTTCTACTATTGTAGATAATAACAATAGTATTGATACTGTTGATACTGCTTCTAATAATGATGATGGAAAATGATTGTGACACGTTAACTTGTTTAATTTTTTTGTAAAATTGGCTTTAGTGAGCTGGAATAAACAACATAACTTCTGTTCAATAGTTTCAAAATAAAATACTCAGTCACGCACATTTTCAGCAATCTATAGTGGAAATAATTGATTTCTGCTTTTTGTTCAGGTGTGAAGTGCAGCAGGAGACTCCGCCATGATGAAGAGGATAATGAAGATGAGTACGACAAGAATCTGGATATGAATAACAGAACTCCATCAAGGTTCCTACTTAACTTTTGTTGTCATTATTATTTTGTCCACATGTATACTGGGGGTGCTTGATTCAGAAAATCTCAAGATTCGATTCAAAATTGATTCTCGATTCAAAAACGATTTCTCAATTCAATACACTTATACATTTGAGTCCAGGTCTTCATCCTCCAGAGGTCAATTAGAGCAGAGGAAGCACAGCGGACCTCAGATCAGTGAAACTCAGAACCACATGGACCTCAGGATCCGATTCCAGGAGAACCTACAGACTGACAGTACCTTCAAAAAAAGGTAATTTAAAAAGTGAATTAAAATAAATGTAAGGGGAACTGGGGACAATGTTTTATTATTCACACAGGAAAGGTCATCTTTGTCCTTTAAACGCACAGTATGTAACTTCTGCCTCTAGGTGTCTCTCAATCCAAATAATGACAAAAGATGGCATTGGATGACGTCATGAAATAGTGTGGGCTCATGGGAGTTTTTGTCTCCATCACTGTCATCCTCTCCCAGTTTTGATTCTTTCAGTGTCCGTTCGTCTGGAAATCAAACAGACCTGGTCATTAGAACTGTAAAAAACAATTAATAAAATAGTTTCACATTCAATTTTGAGCTTCTGGCAGGCAACCACAGCGCCGACCCATGCATATAGGGGATGTGCTATCATTGACAGGCGACCAAATGACACAGCTTTACCATAGTAAAATCATGTATTTTTCTTGGTTTGAGAATTGCTGGAAATATTGGGGATAATTTAAGATCACAACTCAAAACATATATAACACAGGTATAGTCATCTTGAGACATTTTAATGTGGAAAAGTTATTTATTATAACTTTAAATGGTCAGTTCACCCAAGTAAAGGTACTGAACCCTTGGAAAGTACAACCCCCTGACCAGGAACCTTTTTGGGGGTAGATCAATTACCCCGGAGCTAAATTTAGACTGTGGTTC